GGGCACTCTTACACCACATCTCATGCGTGGGACCAAGATGACCACAGAGGTTCGATGTGATAGAGACTGTACACCAGGTAACCTTGTCCAGTTGGGTGGTGGTTAACAAGATCGCCGTCCCGCCCCAGTCCACAACTCCACTGTCACCAGCGGGGAGGAACAGATCCGATCAGAAAATGTCCCGGCGATCCACCACTCCCCAGCGATTTCCCATCCAAGGGTCCAAAGCCGCTGGGTGGTACTGAAGGTTAGGTTCAGGGCAACAAGGAAGAAGAAGAAGAGGGTTCGGGCTCCAAAGTGCCCGCCCGGGATTCACACCAAACTTTCCCTTGCGATGGAACCAGACCTCCTTCCTTTCACTTCAATTCCCCTTTCACCCGCAGATGCTACCAGCCCCAGAACCCCACTGATCGACGAGACCATGTATGTAACTGGCACAAGCGGAAAGCTAAGATTCACAAATTGCCCGACCCGACCAATCCCAAGACGCCTTTTTGAGACACCACTGCCGGGCTTGATTGACCACATCACGACGGGAATAGTGTGGTGAACAACAACAACAACTTTAGACTATCCAACATAGTACACAGCAAAAACCCCTGCTTTGGCAAATCATTGCGGCTGCCCAAAATTTTGCAAAATGGGGGTTTTGCAAGAGGGATTTTTGGAGGATTACGGGCAGTCAAGATCCTTTCTGCGAAAGGGAGATCTTGCTGTACATCGACCTCTATTTCCGCAGATCCACATACAACTCTTAGGGTATCTCAGCCAGGCCCATATGAAAAAAGTAAGAATGCCCGCCCGCTAGTTGGTAGTTGGTATAGGGGGGTGGGGCGAGGAGGTTCAGCGGGTTTGTCTAGGTCCGAGACTAAGGCAAGGTCTATGTTTTTTTTTTTCTCTTTTTTTTTCTTCTTTCCCTCTCTCCAGTCTCCCCTGATCCAGCGGCCTCTGAAACATGCCCAATCAACAAATTCCCTTTAGACATTCTTGGTCCGTCTGCGCCGGTGAGCATGCCGGACGGGACTCCTCTGTCCCAATTCGGCTACCCTTGCAGGCTGGATGCCAGCTGAAGATAGCCAGGGTCGACGGGATTGGGGGGAATTAAGTTCAAAGTTTTTGTCCAGTCACACTACCTAGGTATTATGACCCTCCTTCACCTCTATACCTCTCGAAGTGATTTTTTTTTGTCACCGCTCTCGCCAACATTTGCGTCAATCCAATAAGGCCAGCCTTCCGAGGACTTTGCTCATCACTGTGTCTCGGAGGGTTCGCGGTCGAGCCTATGATGGAGGACAAGAAATGGAGATGTCTGCAGGCGTCCTGCAAGAGAGAGATCTGATATGCTCGCAATCAACGCCAAATCCACCCCATTGTCCCCCCCACGTGTCCCCATCACCAATGATCGGCTTTCGGATTGTCGGTCAGGATGTCATCGTACTCCATGGGCTACCACAGTGGCTGGTACTACAAAATGCAGGAAGGCGGGGGATGCAAATTTGATCGTCCTCGAGAATTCCCCCGAACATGGCCATCTCCGAGTCTTATGGTCCCCGAGTGCTACCAAAAAACGACACCCATGGACCTTCCTACACGAGTCAAGGGGGGAAGGGAGAGAAAAAAAGAGTTGCATAATGCAATCGAAACTCACCCTGTTCGACCTTGCCATTCCCTTTCACTTGTAAGACGTACCCCTATAATGCCGTTCAAGACAAGATTTTTTTCTTTCTCGAATCGGATCGGGATTAGCAAGGTGGCTGCTGTGGAAGGTATTTGAACCAAAAGTACCCCGGTTCCACATCCAATAAGGCGAAAATGTTATCAAACACATACACGCACCTCACGCTGTGTAACTAACCCCCTCCCCCCTTTCCCCTCTTTCCAAGTCCCGACATACCGGAACACGCTTTGTCGAGGCTTGAAGGACTTCAGTTGGGTGCTTAGTCGTGAGTGCCGGTGCTTCTGTTACACACAGGAAAAAAAAACAAACGACTCAGGCTGGTAGGAAATCATCATGGATAAGTCCCACCTCTTCCCTGGCGAATATGAGCCTCACCATCATGGTCATGCTCATGGCCAAGGGCCCAACGCAACGGACCGGGCATCGCCGTTCAGTGACCACGACCACGAAGACTACTTTTCGACACATTTGCCTTCGATACCTGTGGCACCGCCAGGAACGGACAATAAAGATCCCATGACTGGCCGAAATCACCGGCCGCGCAAGATCGTCTTGTGCTTTGATGGAACTGGCAACAAGTTCCAAGGCGATGACTCGGATAGTAACATCCTCAAGATTTACAGGATGCTGGATAGGACAGCTGATGACCAGTGTAAGTTCCGTAATCCAGTCCCGCAAGAAAGCAGTCGTCATGCTAACAGTCACTCTCAGACCACTATTACCAACGTGAGTTTTCATGATGAAGCCAATGCCGACAGTCACCATCTCAACATAGTAGCTAACCCCCTTGCAAAGCTGGCATCGGCACCTATGTCGTCTCCACCAGCCTCACCCGTACCAGCGCCGTCGCCCGGCTGCGCTCATGGTACATCAAGTCCAAAGATTCGGCCATCGGCACTTCCTTCGACCAGCACGTCGTGGGCGGTTACCGCTTCCTGATGCGCTTCTACCGCACCAACGACGAGATCTACATCTTTGGCTTCTCGCGCGGTGCCTACGTCGCCCGCTTCTTGGCCGAGATGCTCGACTACATCGGCCTGCTCTCGCACGGCAACGAGGAGATGGTGCGGTTCGCCTGGAAGGCCTTCTCCAACTGGCAAGTCCGTCGCGCCGACGACTCGCCCGAGGGCGCGAAGAAGAAGAAGAAGATGTACGAGTTCCTCAAGGGCTTCCGCGAGACCTTTTCGAGACCCGTCAGGAGGATCCAGTTCCTGGGTCTGTTTGATACCGTCAATAGCGTGCCAACGTTTGAGTCAGCCTGGATGGAGAGGAGCAAGTTTCCGTACACGGCAAGAACGTCGGCCAAGGTGGTCAGACATGCGGTGAGTATCGATGAGCGGAGAGCAAAGTTCAGGCAGGACTTGATCTACCAGAGCGCGCATAGGAAGTGTTCCAAGGATCGCCATCCGGCGAGGGAGAAGTTGCATGAGTTTCACGAGAACCTGAAGTATCGCGGCCGAGGCCACCACCCGCACGCTGCCGGTGCTGCTGAAGGTACTGGTGGAATGAACCGTGGTAGAAAATCTAACCCGCTTGCGGTGCCTGAGCAGGCACCAGCTCCTTACCGCACGCGTTCCCACTCGGTTCGGTCTCGAAGGACCAATAGATCCGGAGTATCCGGTCGGGGTGGTCCCAATCATGACGCTCACTCCGAGGTCTCTGTCGGTCCCCACCCCGAGACTGACGATGACGGAGAAGACTTCGAGTCATCGGAGGACGAGCACGAGCAAGACATCGACGAGGTATGGTTTTCAGGCGGACATGCCGATATTGGCGGCGGATGGAGTGTCGAAGAGGGCCAAAAGCCTGCATCGCACATCCCCTTGTGCTGGATGGTCCGCGAAGCCATGCGCGCCGGTCTGCACTTTGACCCCGACAAGATCCAGGACATGGGCTGCGTCGACTTGATGGACGAGATGGGCATCGAACACGGGCCCGACACCACTGCCGCTCAAAAGGACCACCTCAAGTCTGAACACCTCGGAGGAGGGTCAGCAGCGACCGACGGCAACGGAGTCGCCAAATCCTGCACATGCTCCAAATCTCCCCAACAACAAGTTGACCGCAACACCATCCCCAACATCACCGTCCGCAGTCCCAGCACCCCGAGAATCTTCCAGCAATCCTCCTGGAAATTCGACTCCTTCTCCTCTTTCAAGGACAAGAGCGGCAACAAGGCCGGTGACAAACTAACAAGCTCCACCACTGGAAAAGACAAGGAAACAGCCCCCGACGCCATGACCAACATGAACTGCCCCTCCAGTCCAACCACAGTCGAAAATGGCAGCCTCAACTCTCCCTCCACCACCACCAGCAAGCACAGCACTTCTTCTTCGTCTTCTTCTTCCTCATCATCAAAGTCCGGCGGGTCCTGCCCCCTACACAACCCCCCCTGGTCCTTCAAAGACATGATCCACGCCTGCCACACGGCGCGCATCCACGACTCTTTATCGTTCGACTGCGGCCTCAGCTTCGGCTCCGTACTCGCCTGGAAAATGATGGAATACCTCCCCTTCCGCCGACTCGACTTGAACGAAGACGGCAGCTGGAAACCGATCCGCTGGCCTTTGCCGTGCGGCGAGGTGCGCGATATCCCCGACAACGCACGCGTGCACGGGAGTGTGATTAAGCGGCTGCAAATGTGCGAGACATATCGACCGGGCAATCTGATTATTGGTGGTGGTGGACGGGGTGTGAGGGTCGCTGGGAAGGAGTACGGGATTGGCGAGTGGGTTTGTGTCAAGGAGGAAGGGGATCCGGTTGGGGAGGTGTGGATGAAGAAGAGCGCGTTGGAGAAGGCGGCGAGGGAGGCGGCTGGGTTGGAGAGTGGGAGTGGAAGTGGGAGTGATAAGGAGAAGGATAAGAAGAAGAAGCAGGAGGGAAAGGGAAAGAAGGATGGAGGGAAAAAGAAGGAGAAGAAAGACAAGAAAGAGAAAAAGGAGAAGGAGAAAAAGGAGAAAAAAGAGAAAAAGGGAAAGAAGTAGGATGGGTGGTTACGCCGCGCTTGATAGCACCACAGTTTTTGATCGCTTTTTTAGTTTAGGATACCATTTTACTTGCTAGGATACCTCTAGTTTATACCAATTTGACTTAATTCGGCCATGGGAATATGTTTTCTGTCAGAAAATCTTGGATTTGGATGCTTTTCCATTAATTCCCAGTTGCCCAAATTGAACTCATCTAAAGCAGCTAGTTCACAGATCGTGACTGCTACCTCCAAATCTCAGATCTAGCGTGCATGACTCCGTGCTACACTTCCTCAGCTAGGTAATCTCTCTCTTCTAGCTCCCTGCATGTTGACAACTGGCCTGGACTCACCAAGTCACTCAATCGATCCCTCAGCCGCAAATTTGGTCCAACGATCCATAAAGGCATTCGTGAATCCCTCAGCCTCTCTCGTCGAGGCTTTGGACATGTCTATATCCGCCTGCATCGCGTTGAGATCCCGCTCGAATTCCTTGAAGGCCGGGTCATCCATCAGCGCCTCCGCAACCTTTTCCGCTTTCTTCTGTCTCCAAAAAGCTTGAATCGAGTCCAATACCGCCTGAAGCACGTTGACTTTTTCCTCGTATTGCTTCAAAATCGCGGTTGACCTGTTGTACTCTTGTACCGCCGTGGTGAATATGTTAAAAATGAAATCTAGATCGTCGCCGTCGTTGCTTGCAGTTGTAACAAGGTCTAGCTCCCCCTCATCGCCGTGATCGCCATCAAAAGAGCGGTTAGAGCCCAGGGCCATGTTCAGATTTGCAGCTAGCTCGGAGGCAGCAGAAGCTTCCTCGATGTTGACGGAGACATGAGGATCAGGCAACAAGTCCTCAGCCTGCGCGTGATGATGTTCGGGACTCGGAGGAGGCGGCGGTGGAGTTGACATGAAGGACTCGCTAGGTTCAGGCGAAACTTCGCGGCCATCAAGGGCAAAGCCGGAAGCATTAAATCCCCCGCATGGAACACTGACGGCTCGGGCGCGGCTCATGTCCTCAGTGATGGTCTCAACCGTAGGGCCGGGCGACTCTGAGCGACCTGCATACGGTACATCCACGTCAGTCACGCTTTAAAATGATAACTCGGAACGGTGCAATTTATGATGAGACGTACCTGACAAGCGATAGCAGTTGTGAAGGCGAGCCTTGGAGACCTTCCACTGCTGCATGTTGAGTAAATGTTGAATAAATGTTGAGAGCTTAGGGTTTGCCGACGTGATTTCTGACAGCTGAAAACGGTTCAAGGTGATGCTGGTGGTGACGTTTGCGGTGATGCAGATGATGATAATGAGGTGATATCGATCGAGTAGTGAATTCGACGGTGCGACTTGTTTGGCGATGAAGCTCCTGGAACTTATTACTGCGTGTGTGAGGTTATCCAGGTGAATTGGTACCCTAGGCAATAGACAGAGACTGCCTTGTGGAAGTGAGTGTTACCAGTAAGGTGGTAAAGAATGGGAATTGAGGGTGCGGTGGAGGTGGAGGTTGGATTATGCCAGGTTTGATCGATGAAGAAGTGAGAGAAGGGAGATAGATACCTACCGATGGAGGCTCGAAAGCGGAGGTGGATATGAAACCAAGACCAAAGCAAACATTTACTGTCGAAGAGCCAGGATGAAAATGAAGCCACTCTTTTCGCCTCATCCCAGCTTTCCTTTGTGGTCAGATTTGGGATGAAGACGTGCTGGAGCATGAAGTACCATTTGATCCTTTCATCTGTTTCCACCAAGGCCATCAGACAGAAGAAACGATCAGTAGTTGACACAGTACACACGATGATACTGATCATGCCTTGCGATTAGTAGCGTAAACCTGCCTCAGAGCACAGAGGAATATTCTCCTCATCCAGACTACCTCTAAACTTCAAGAACACGTCCCATTTTCACACAGAATACGGTACCTTCGTTGACCGTTACATCACCTCAAGCCCTCTCAATATTCTCAGCCCTCGTGACGCCGCTCACAGCCACATGGCCCTGCCCGCCGATCGGAGCATTACACTCCGGACACCTAGCAAGCTCCATGGGCATCCCGCACTCCCCGATAGCGAACTAATCCAGTCACATGACTTTGTTAGCGAGCAAGTACCGATCAGTGGTGCTTAACAGGTCACAGACAGGTCGATGTGCAAGCCGCAATGCATCAAGGTAAGGAAAAGAGAAAGAGAAACCGTCTAGTGAACTCACCGGATGACCATTCGCGCAATTATACCAATGTCCCGAATGCGTAGCGATCCCTCCGCTACCACTGACCATAGCCGTCTTGATAGCCGCCAGTTCCTCCGGCGTTACCTCCTCGTACCACTCGGTCGTAAACAGCCGAAGCGTCCCTTCAATTGCCTCCCGTTCCGATTCGGTGTTGGGAATATTATCGCAGAGGACGAGTGCGTCTCCCAGTAACTTCTTGGCTGTGTCAACCCTGTCCTCTTCCTCCTCCTCCTTCAGTTGATCTGTCCCATTTATCTCATCATGAGCCGCATTGACATGTTTACGTCTAGACCGCTCGTGAAGCTGGACGATTCGACCGTAGGAAAGGCTGGCCGCGATGACGAGACGCGGAAGCTTTGCTGCAGAGGCCGCCGTGACCACGTGCTTGCACGACTTTAGAACGTCGAGTGCAGCGTCCCGGAGGTCCTGTGATAGATTGAAGGCGTCCTGAAGAACGACCTCCTCCGCTTTGATGTACACCATTTCGGCGCCAAGTGTGATTTGTTGGTCGTACGTGGGTGTGGCGCTGGTCGGCAGTGAGGCTGGCGCGGAATCATCAATGTTCAAGCTGTCCATGGCTTGTTCTAGGGACCCGGCAGCTCGTTGTCTGAGTTGGAAGGTCAGAACTGCATCGAGAAGCTTCTTGGCCGGCTGATGTTCGAGGCTCATGTCGCGGGATAGACGCTTGGCTTCTTGGGAAAGATTCGAGCTAGCCTCCCATCTCTTCTTCAGGTCCCGCTTGGGGCCCGTTTTGAAGGCCTCCCTGTTGCGCTCCAATGTCATCTCAAGGTCCTGAAGCCTTTTCTCGAGCTTTGCCAGCTGCTGGCGTCCGCTGGTCAAGAAACGCTTGGATGTCTCGTCCATCACCGCTCGGTTGATGACACGGTTGTAGCGCTTGGTAGCGAATTGCCGAATTGGCCGCTTGCAGTCCGGGCAAGAGGGGACGGCGTTGGCTAAGACAGATAGGTCTTTCAGTCCATTGTAGCGGCCCGTCTTGTCAGTCGTGTAGACCTCATGCATCCCCACCAAGCCGTCCAAGGTCTCAGCAGTGAAGAAATGACCGCAGCCCAAAACCACAATGGGCGTTTCATTAAGATCGATCTCCTCATATGTCTTGAACTCCAGCAAGTCGACTCGGTCGTCCTTGCGGGAGCAACATATCTGACAATAGCCCTGCGGACACTCCTCACCACACAGACTTGGACACTGGTGGCCACATTTGAGACGGCGGGTACACCGCTCATCACATGGCAGTCGATCGCAAGGCGCTGCACAGGGCATAGTACATTGCCCTTGGTGTTGGCATGACCAGGCGCACTTTTCGATGCATGGGGCACACGGCTTCTGGCATTGCGACGAACATTTTGAATGGGGGCATCGTACCTGCGTAGAAGGTCAGTTATAGTGATCAAATATGGCAAGTGCGAAAAGTCAAGAGTGAGAAGAAAAACACAACTCACCTCGCAGGGCCTTGCACAACTACCGCATTCCTGTCCTTGATGACATTTCTTGGGACACAGATGGTTGCATGTGCTGTAAGGCCGAGCACAAGTTTTCTGGCACACTTGATGAGAAAATGTAATCTTTCCGTCCTTGTCTTTGACCCTGCATTTTCCGCATGTTCCAGGACACGGGTGAGAACACGGGTGGATGCGGTCGCATGGCGTCGGGCAGCAGAATATCTCAGAAGTAACATCCCTGAAACACTCGACGAACACTTTATGACCACAGCCCGGAACAACTTTCTCCACTTCAACCGAACACTTGATCTGCTTACGGTCCAATGTTCGATAGCAGAGAACCTTGTTGTGGATATGACCACAGGGGAGCTCAACGTTGTCCACCTTGACAACGCAAGGCTTGCACTTTTGCCCGCACAGACCGGGACAGGCATGGTTGCAGGTTGTCCGGAACCGCGGGCACGGTTGTGGACAGGGAAAGGCATCGTGAAGTGCCTGCGAGTGACAGCTTGCTGAGCATTGATGGCCACAAGGCTCGAGGCGGCGATCACAGGGCAAGTCGCAACCACCCTCGGGGCTGTAACGGAGAAAGTCATCGGGTTCCGAACATTCAATCGGGGTATCCGGATGCCGAGGACAGCACAAAGCAATCGAATCACCCGTGGCCTTCATCTCGGTCATTTGTTCGTGGACGTCGGCCCACATGGCAATGTTCCGGTATGTCCTGGAGTTGCCGATAAGATACATCCCATGTTGGGCTCGGCTGAGAAGGACGTTGATGCGGTTTTCAGTGCGTAGAAAGCCAACCTTGCAGTTCATGTTGCTGCGTACCAATGAGACAATGATCACCTTTGCCTCTTCTCCCTGGAAGTTGTCGACAGTGGCCAAGCGGATGGTCTTGAGCAAAGCCTTCTTTTCGACTGTCTTGTGGGAAGTAGGGTCAATGTCCTTTGCAGTATCATCACCAAATCCATCTAGTACCATCTTCTCCATATCTCGGTCGCTCAAGAAAACCTCAAAGTCCTTGCTCAATGCTGCTCTGAGCTTCTGTAGCTGGCCAGTGTATGGCGTGAGCAGGGCGATGTCGGAGCTGCTATACTCGCCCTGGCGAACAATATGACGTACGAGTGCCGTGGCCATTTCCGCCTCCCAAGCGTTGGAGTACGACTTGACTCTTGCGCCGTCATCCTTGGAATCTTCGGGATGTTCGTGATCCAACCAGAAAAGGTTTTGTCGCATCCCCACCACATCCGGGAGGTTGAGGACGCTGGGGTGATCCTCAAGCCGGGGATATATCCTGCGAATAAGTCGCGAGATCTCGGGCCGCATGCGTCGTTGAGCATTTAGCTGAGCTACAGGTAGCGGTGCCAGTCCCGGCTCTCCAACGGCACGCCTCTCAAACTGGCTGCGATCGAGCTGGTAAGCCAAGCCAGCCTGAGTTTCCATGCTGAACTGCAGGTAATTTTGGATCTGGGGGCGAAGTTGTCGGTGATCTCCAATCTGGATCAGGTGTTCCACGCCCGGCATCATGGCCGATATGAGATGCGGCTCCATCACCTCGGCGGCCTCTTCGCACATGATCACCTTGGATCCGATTCGCCGCAGCATGTCAATGTTTCGAGCCAAGCCGGTGGTTGTAACCCCGACTACATCTGCTTGCCTCACAGCTCGGCGGTTCACATCGGCGTGAACACCGTCAATCCGCTGCCGATATGTTTTGGCGCCGTCAATCGATTCAAAGAGCACACCGGTCTGTTGGTCTATCATCTCTTTGATCCAAAACTCGACAAGTATCCATCTCTGCACTGGATCAAGAGACTCAACATCGCACTCGGCCGCTCTGATGACTGTGTCAATCTGTCGGCTTAGTATGGCTCTGGCGCCTTCAATCTCCAAGTGAGGGGGCCTCTTTCCCAGCCACAGCTCCACTGAATCACCTCCAACACGTGTCCATCCCTCCCCGTCTACTTCACCCCTGTCTGGAAATTGGCGCCATATGGTCGGATGACGTCGGGGCAAATATCGAGACAGCAGTTCCCGATTGGGACGGCCTTTACGAGCGAGATGAAGCGGCTTAAGGCAGTGGCCAGCCGTGCTCAAATGTTCTTCGACTCCGTTGAAAGCTTCGCCCAATACCCGGTTTTCCACGGTAGATTTGGCGATGCTTGAGCTAACAACACGAAGATTCTTGCCCTCCAACTCCTCGCAACGGCTCTGGCCGCCAATTCGAATGATCTTTTCAATACCACAGTTCAGTAGATGCACCAGGAACTGGTCAAGGGCATGGTTGGTGTAACAGATAATGAGGATGGGCCCCAGAGATGCCTCCTTCTTGTGGGCAAGCAAGGTACGGACAAGTTGCACGCCAACATATGACTTGCCTGTTCCCGGGGGTCCCTGTATCAGTGCGTATTCGCGAGTGAGTGCTGTGATGAGAGCCCTGCACTGACTGCGGTTCAATCCAGTTGACTTTTCGAACTTGTCGAAGTCAATGTCTTCGTGACTGGTACTGGGATTGAGACGCAGCGGCCCACTTCCCTCGCGGGTGATGGAATTTAGCTTGAAGACGAATCCTCTCTTGCGAGCATAGGCTGGGGGTGGTATCGTAAGCTGCTGGGGTCGCTCTTTGATACTACCAGGAGTGGGCAGGATCCATTGACTGAAAGGCAACTCGCCATCCGTCATGATGCGTTGGAGGTTGGTGAGGACCGGAACGAAGGTATCCGGAATGATGCCGGGCAGGTCAACAAGAACACCAGAGTGTTTGCTGGTATGAAGACGAATGAGAAGTGCCAGACACTCCTGAGATTCAGTGGCCAGTTTAAGGGTGATTGTGGGGTCCGATCGCTTGGGCACAAGCGTGCTCTTCTGGGGATCCTCATTCTGTTCCTCAGTACTTTTTTGGGTAACAATGAAGAAAAGAGACCGCTTCTTTCCGTCGTCATGTGCCACGTAACAAGCCAAAGACCCTGGCTCAAGCCTGGAGGACTCCTGCCACCATCGACGTCTATCGGCCGGTGAGCTGTTGCGTAACTGATGAGGGGTGGCGAACGTCAAGATAGCTTCCAGTCCAGTACGAGGCCGAACAAACACACGCTGGATCTGTGCTCTGTCGTAAACGTGAGCTCTGATATTGTTATCCATCAGTTGGTGTGAGTTCGATGTGGGCTTGCCATCGTCGGCAAGAAACCTATTGAGTGCATCTTTGAGAGGGCCGAAGGTATCATGGCGCAGTAGCCGAAACGCGGTGTCAATGTGCCGCCGGACTGGATCCTGGAGAAAATGGGCCTGCAAGAAGTCCGTTGTAGGCAAATACTCTGGGTGTTTGCTTATGATTTCCCCGTGCGTGGGGAGAATCTGGATCTTGGTAATGTCGGCATTGTCGTTGTCATGGCTGCCTCCAGGCACATGGATATCCACCGGAAACGTTAACCGGACGGGCCCAGATTTGCCGCGGCGTTCAGGAAGACCTTCATCTGGATCCCCAAGGACAAGAGTTGCAGATTCCATCAATCTCCTCATAGTGTCAAGACAAGACGTACATCTGTCTATCGCGGGCCCAAACTCAACCTTCTGTCGAAGTAAGGCAACAAGCTTTTGTAGGTCTTTGAAGAGCTTTGGTACGTTATCGTCGAGAAGGGCTTTGCGTTCCCGACGAACAAGTCTCAGGAGGCAATCCAGAAGCAGTGTGCATGTCGTGTCGGGCTCCCACCCAGCCGGAGGCGATGCCTCTTGCTCCAGCATGGAAAGAGAACGGCGGGCTAGATCGCTCAGGAACAAAATTGCGGTTTCCCCGTTGATGCCCCCGAAGTAACGATAGATCTTCCCGACGTACACATCCACCGACAGTGAGTCGCAAAGAGAATGGTGAGTGAGCACTTTGAGGAATGGAGTAGCTACTCGGAACACCTGGCTGTTATCATTGACCTTGTCCATGCAAAACTTCTCGGTTTGTCGTATCTTTATGAGCCCGCCGATTTCATCATCAGCCAGGTCTCTGGCAACGGACTGTTGCCATTCTCGGTAGGTGTCGTCTTCCAAAATGGCAAGGGCACCAGTCCACACGGCGTTGTAGTGACCTGTATGCATAGCCATCTGGCGAAGCTGGCGTCTCCAGTCAAGGTACGCTTCGTGTGCGTCTTCCTCCTCTGCGGTGAACTCGGGGATGTCGTGAGAGAATTTACAATCCGCGCCATAGCGACAAGTACGGTGCTGCATAAATTGGGGGCAAATGCGTTGCCGAACAGCATCTTCCGTATTGCTCCGACCACCTCCCCTGCCGCGTCCACCTCCGCGTGTATGTCCGCCACGGCTGTCTCCGTCAGTGCGTCTCCATTGACCACGTCGGCCGGCAGAAGCCTGTCCTCGTCCTCTGTAGTTGTGCATGCTTGGAAAGGAGTTGGATGGATGAGGAAGAAAACTGGCGACCGAGCAGGTTAGCAATAGAAATATGGGGCCATATTGAAGAAGATATGGAAAGAGAGCATACATTGTATCCTGAGAGTGTTAATAAACTTTGGACGCCTGGGCAATGTACGTGTGCGGAGCAAAAACCTGAGGAAGTTGTGTTGGCTGAAGAGTCGAAATCAAGAGATTACCGATGACACAGAATGTGGCACCAGAAACAAGGACAACCGGCCTTGATATCTCTGCCAGGACGGGATACTTGACTTCGGGCGACCGTCTACTTGTAGAGCCATCGATATCCATTGCGTCCAACCAGACATTAACTTGAAAGGATCACTGCTTGTCCGCGTTTGCTGCTGCCTTGCCGGATAACACCGGGGCTTTTCCCACCAGTCAACGTCCCTCAATGAAGGTGGTGATGTGGTGGGGTCTCATGCCGGCTGTATGTAGCCTTTGTAGGCCTCAAGCATACAATGTCTTATCGCATTGCGATTGGCGTTGGCAATGGTCCGCGGGGTTTGCAGGCCAGAGTTTGTTTGGGGGTTGGTCCTGTCTTCCAAGAAAGCTATCTGCACTGGAGATGCTGTGAAGTTATGCATGAGGCCCATTGATCAAGCTCGTTGGCTGTCCTCAGTGAGACAAGGCATCCAATGAGAAAAGAGGAATCTGTGCACAGCCAACGGATCACACGCATCCCACAATGAGTGGATTTTGGTATCACATCCGTCGGGCTCCAGGACGTATCGAACTGTCTCTCGGTTTGTGCCAGCGTGCAAGCACATGGCCGCCCGATGTTTCTTCGTTTGCAGTTGGGTAAGTCATCGCTGCCTAGAGGTAGCAAGTGAGGTCTTGGGCGAATCCTTTGACATCTGCAACTTGTGCCCAACACGAGTTGTTTTTCATGACAACCCATGCTCCGTCAAGCTGTCGCGAATTGTGTGAAGCGATTTGTGAATGTCGAGTAGGCATCAGACCGGCGAAGGTCTTACGGCTAGTGAGCGATGTGTGCATGTCTCACCCGTTTTCAAACGACGTACGGGAGGGAAACTTTGTAGGACACTCAGTGCCTTCCTCCATTGAGATGTCTCGGCCGGGAGTGATGTCGTTTGTTTCCTTTCGGCAACATCGGCCAGCCTGTACCGTTATCTGGCCGGCGGGTATGACTGCAGCACTCATCGGACTGGTGCTTGGAGTCTGCCGACACACAAGCAATCTGACAGGGATTGGAACTGAATGGTCAGAAACATGGATGCCACGTGCTAAGGCATGCTTCTTTACAATTCACCCCCTCAACCCCCTCAACCCCCAAGCCCCCCAATTGATCGAGCGGGCCAGGCCGACTTGGCAGTGACAAGACAACTGCGGGGGAAATACAGGGGACCAATATCGAAGACCAACAGACCAGGGCAGGGCACGTTGAGGATCTTTCTTTGGCCCAATTGACCACGTTCGGTACTGGGATGTGCCAACTTTGACATGATAGCGAAGATATCGCAGAACATTCTTTCGACTTCGAGTCATCCCCACATTGGAATGATCACCGTGCATGTGAGCGGGCCGCTGTAGAGGAGGGTTGCTCCACTGGCACGTTTACCCCGTGGGCAAGCTGGGCAAGCTTGGGGGGGTTTGTGCACACAGCAACTTGGAGAGACTGGGACGTTCGAATCACAATATAGAAAGAAAAGATGAATAAAAGAAAGACAGAGGAGACCAGCTGAACTTTCAGAGAACTGTGAGAGAACTGTAGATAGTTCCAAGTACTCTGGTTTCGAGTTCACTTACTTTCGGTTTTTCTGCAACTTCTCATTTTGTTGGAGGTTCAGTCAACGAAGCCCTTGATCTTTCCATGCCAAGGGTCCAACCCTCAAAAGCACAGGTGAATGAGTCCGGGAACAGAAGACCCTGGAAAGAGCCCATGGCTGTGAGTACTTGAGCCATGGCTCGTCGAAACACTCCCACCAGCAGCATCCCGGGTGACCAAGAAACACAAGAAGGGCTTTGGGGATGGTAGCTGTCCGATCACGGCATCCCGCATTGAATATGTGGTACCGTACGTCCTGACCCGCGACCTTTTGATCTTCGCACCCTCTTTTTCTCTCACCAGCCGACGTCCAAATCGCTAGCATCTCCCGCTGACTGTAAACTGTAAAAAACAAACCCTGTGATAACATCGGCTTTGTGCTTCGCAATTGGAGTCACCATCATGGCAAGCTCGGTTGAGCCCTATACCACTGACAACATGAACCACGAGGCACAGCATGTGTCTGATAGCGACAGCAACTCTACGCTGTGTTCCGACGGGGGGGAGGCATCAGCTCTCCTAGAGTCGCAATCACCCAAGCCGCCACCGTCGTATGTGACCTTCCCCGAGACCCATCAAGAAGAAGAAGAAGAAAAATGGAAGCCAGGGCCGGGATTCTGGTGCATCGAGGTTGGTAGGTACCCGCTTGGGTTTGAATCAAGCAGCACAAGGAGACACTGATGTTGCGTGGACAGCTCTGTGGGCCAACGTCTTTTTGTCGGGATTCGACACCACCATCACGGCGTCGACGTATGCCGCCATCAGTTCCGAGTTTGGTGCGGCAAACAACGCTGCCTGGCTGACGACATCGTACCTGATCACGAACACGGCGTTCCAGCCGCTCTATGGCAGACTGTCCGATTTGTTTGGACGGCGTCTCTGCTTCTTTGTATCCACAGCAACCTTCATGGCTGGCTGTCTTGGATGCTCCGTGGCCCCGGTTATGCTGACCCTCAACCTCATGCGGGCCGTGGCCGGGGTTGGGGGAGGAGGGTTGATCACCATGGGTGACTTGACCTATTTTTTTGTTGACAAATCGGCTCCTCGGAGAGCACTTGCTGACCGCAGCACTAGCGACTATCATCAACTCGGACATGATTCCCTTTAGGCAGCGTGGCATGTACCAAGCGATGCAAAACATTCTGTATGGGTTTGGGTCCGTGCTGGGGGCATCCCTCGGGGGCACCATTGCCGAAACGGTTGGATGGAGATGGTGCTTCTTGTCGCAGGTGCCCGTGTCCCTGGTGGCTCTCGTGGTCGGGTACTTTGTGCTCAAGAACCCGTTGGACCTAGTGGATCTGGCGGGCCCAAAGGGACGTGTGCGGTCTGCCTTGCAATGTCTCGATCTGTCCGGGGCCACGCTGCTGGTGGTGGGCCTCGTGGTCCAACTCTTGGGATTGAGCTTTGGAGGCAACGAGTATCCTTGGTCGAGCGTGCCGGTGGTGGCGGCCCTGGTAACGAGCTGTGTCTTGTTGGCCGGGTTTATTGTGGTCGAGGCCAAAACCAAGGCAATGCCCATGATACCGTTGCGGATGCTGCAGGGCTGGCAACCCAGTGTGGTGCAGTTGAGCAACCTCTTCTCGGGCATGGCGGCGTATGCTGTAAGCATCGAGTGTTCGTTCTGTCTGATGAAGGAAGAAACTGCTGACCATACAATATCCTGCAGTACATGTTTTTGATCCCCTTGTACTTCCAGGCCGTCCGGGGAGACTCGCCGTCCAAGGCAGGTCTGAGGCTCGTGATGCCGTCGTTAGCCTGTCCGGTGGGCGGGGTCATGGCCGGGTTGCTGATGCAACACGGAATACGTCTGAGCTATAACGTTCGTTTGGGAACCGCCATGACGCTGATCGGTAACATGCTCGCAGTGACCTTGGGAACGACGGGCGATCGGCGAAAGGAATTCATCTACCTGGTACCAGCGACGCTGGGTCTCGGACTGACGCATCCCAGTATTCTGTTTAGCTTTGTGTCTTTGTTTGAGCATCGAGGTAAGGTTGTCACGGTCAAGAGGGGAGAAATGACGGGAAGATTTTTGCTAACTCGGAAGCAGATCAAGCGGTAGCCACGTCGACCGTGTATCTGATCCGGTCCATGGGCACCATTTACGGTGTCACCATAACGTCGGCCATTGTGCAGAATGTCTTGATGGTGAGACTGCCGGCGACGCTGGGAGAGGCGGCAACAGACACGGTGAGTAGCGCCATTCTGACGGAATGAATAGATGGTCAATGACAATCATCCAATGAGTAGCTCGTCGAGAAGCTGCGCAGGTCGGTATTTGCGCTGCGCGAACTGTCGCCCGAGTTGGAAATGGCAGTCAGGGCCTTGTACGGGGACGCCCTGAGGGTTTCATTTCTGGCGTCGACGGCGTTTGCTCTGCTCGCCTTTTTGTTTTCTTTTGCGCACAGAACGGGAAAATTGCAGAGAAATGGCTGATAATGTGCGAAATTCCGACTGCTCAAGTCGGTTTCCATTGTGGTCGCTGATTACGATATTAAGGAAGGCGCAGGTTGTCGTTTTCTCGGGGGGAAACATCAGATGTCAGTTGGACCCGCACCAAACCAAAAGCAGGATGGCGTGGTTGTTCTTTCATCGTTGTGCGTAGAGGTACATAGGATAAGTACCAGCTGCCAGCTCCAGCCAATCACAGCAGCGCTCAGACAGCTGCTGCCGGCTGTGGCTCTCTCCACACTGTCGAACCTTTGTACCTTTGTACCTTCGTACCTCGCTGCTCCAAAATGAGACAATTCATCAATCATTTCAACGACATCCTTCTCTACTTAGCTTGCCTACCTAACCCAGTTTCATGGCTTGCAGATGTAGATTGGTGATATACATCCGATAGGCGTGGGAAGTAGTCTTCTCAATCTACTGATCGGATGTGTCCTGGAGCATCATGGCATACTGGCATCAATGACCAAAGGTTGAGGTGAGGCTGGTGAGCGTCTGGTCCTGAAGAGGAGAGACAGTGGACAACGACAAAGAACGTCCCTTAAATCTCTACGTCAAACTTCAAGGATGAAAGAAAACCTCAACTGAACCATTTGACAGCAGTCAAACGGCAACCCCTGCACGGTGATACTCACCCGCCCGAATCCATCAGTCTTCCAGCCCAAAAACGGGACCCCTTGAAAACTCCTTGTGCGCTCTCTCGTCCTCATCCTTTCCATGAAGATCCTTCAGATAGTCCTTGAACTTGATCATCATGTTGCACACCTCTTCAAAGTCTTTCTGATCGAGTGTCGGGATGTCATGTTCACCCTTGTCTTCTATCTGCATCAATCGAAAGTCGGCGAGAGCAACGGCGGTTTGGAAGGCTAACATGTCGTACCGAAAGTGAACCGATCAGCGGGTACCCTGGAAGGTATGTAACTCGAAAGTGTGTAACGATGGCACTCAAATGGAATCTCAATAAAGAAAGACGGATGTGACGGCTCACCATTTCGAATCTCTCGGCCGTTCCACGGCATGCTCGTGATATCCTTCTCCTCCAGCACGTAATCCTGTGCGCGTCGCGTGATGCGAAACTCAGGACGTTCAAAAGACAACTTATCGAAGAACTGCCGCCAGATCTTCTTCCTGTCTTGGGGCGTTAGGCTCTTGTAGTGAATAACCACGTGAATGCGTGACATGAAGGCATCGTCGAATTGGCCAACTCGGTTGGTCGTCAAGAAGAGCACGCCGCGGTAGTACTCTACGCATCTGAGAAACACTGGAGCCAGTGATATACCGAGGTTAGCTGGAGAATACAAAGTGAACGAAGTAGTGTTGACATACCCGATACCAGGCTGTTGCGCTTGAGGTCGGATGTTACTCTCTTCTCCAGAAACACGTCGGCCTCATCAATGAGCATAACCGCTCCCCATTTCTCGGCCAGCTGGAACCACTTCATCAGCTTCTTTTCCATGCTGACATCTTCGGTTCCGATGTCTGCGCACGTGAGCGAGAGCAGCGGCCTCCCAGCGTACTCGGCAATGCATTCTATAGTAAACAAATCGTTGTGTTAGCGTAGATCAAAATCCCAAGAGCGGATGGCATCAACATCATGTACTAGACATTTATGTGGGAATTTGGGGTCCTTGCCTGCGGTCTAGAATCCCACATGTTAGCATCGTTGTTCTCCCAGTGTGACTGAGATGTCTTCTCACTAGCTAGACGAAGGGGGCCGGTCTTACAAATGTTTTTCCAACACCGGGACTTCCGTGAAGTAGGAAGATTTGGCCTTCGCCCTTGTTCTCAATGTGGTCGGCTCTCCAAGAGGCCACAGGAACTCCAGGTCCTTTCGCATCACCAGAGTACTTCTGTATGAGAGCCTTGATCATGTTTTTGGTCTCCTCCTGAAGCACCAGCGTCTTAATTGCCGTTGTGTTCCTCTTCAGGTCCTTGCAGAACTGCACATCAACCATTACTGACGTTTCCGTAGCTGATATTAGCTGCTGACGCATGAACTACGGAAATGAGTTGGTCCGTGAGGTAGAAATTGCACTTACGCCAGTATCTAGATCTCAAGTCAAAGCCGAAGAGTCTTCGATTGCACAAGAGATACCTGTGCTCTGGATCTGGGCAATGATCGGGCAGTTTAAGATCTGATACTTCCATTTTATGAGGGTTCAGGAGGTCGTAATCAGTCCAAGGGAATCCATGAGGTGGGTGCGGCCGAAATCCGTGACACTGTTCACAGGGACACTTCGCTAAACCCCGACCCATATCGTTGACATTTCCCAGAAGTGGAGGACGTCGGAAGATAGCCTCTCGTGATTCTTCCTTCTCAGCCGTATCGTCTCCATACTCAGAAGCGTCATCGGCATGGCTTGCGCTTTCAATGTTGTAATATGAAGCAGTGTCAACGTAGACGCGGCCTTGGAACTATGCGAGCATCGACGGTTAGCAGGTGCTCATATGCACAAATGGTTTCGGCTTCACCCACCTCACGTTTCCTGTCATCCAGCAGGCGACCAGAATATGACACTTGTCTTCCACGTAGCAGCTCAAACCATCGTTTTCCATCCTTTATCAGTGCTTCCCGGGTCTTTCCGCCATCTTCCTCGTCTTTGTATCTAGTAGGGATGATGTTGAGGTCAATGATCCTGCGCTCTCCTTCAAAAGGAGGCAGGTACACATGTCGCGCACGCCTTCCGACATAGCTCCCGTCGTAGTCCAGGTTCCATAATCCTACTTTCCATCCTCTTGGATGTGAGACCAGCCCATCTTGCGTGGCTTCTGTCCAAGCTTCGTGATACACACATTCAAAGACGACAAAGGCTGCGAGACTGCCGCAAGACTCCAGATAAACAGTAATTCCCGGTTTGTATAGAAGCCACACCATGTCATACGTGCACATCCCTCTGCTGTGCCGGGCTTTCTCGTCAGCGACCCCTTGGCCATTGATGCTTGCCACAAGCGCCAAGAGCTGTCGTAAATGCGTTTTCGCAAGCCTTGTGTCGTTATCCTCATCAGGCTGCTCAATGTACGTCTCGAAGTCGTCTAGATGATGCCACACCAACTCATGATGTCGACCCAATTCCAGAGTCTTCCTATGAAGATCCTCCGAGGGATAATAGGAAACCAGCTTTCGGATTGCTTGATTGAGAGCAGGAGACATAACGGTGACTGCGATTCTCGAAACCGCTACATCAACAAGTGGGTTAGTAAGAATTCCGTCTGCCTTGATTCTGTTAACTTCGTAATAGTGTCGTTGCATATTGCCGCGTATGGAGGTTTCCAATACAGTCTCGATCCTCAGAATGGGTTTCTTCATTTGGGAGAGAACACATTTCCTGGCCTCATGAAGATCAAATGGCCCTTGCCACGGTTCAGAATAAATGAGATGATGCTGTGCATCCACATATCGAACGGAGTACGAAAAGTTCTCCGATTCGCTGGGGGCCGACTCTACCTTCCCGCTAGAGCTATCTTGATCACTCTCACTGTTCGATATCTTGAAGTCGGGTTGGCGCAAAGATTGATCACATCTTGGACACTTCCAGTAGTCGAATGCGGTGAGTACTGCGTGGGATTGTCCAGTTTTCTTGCAGTAAAGATCGACAGGACCTTCAGCCGTCCAGTTTCCGGCTAAAGCCTCCCTCCCTGCCACTGGCGTCGAACTGGCCATGTCATCTTCACGACTTGTCTTTGGGTTCGCGGAAGAAGGTCTCTGGACAGGGTTGCCGGTACTGTCAGTGGCCGGGGTGGTGTTGGTGCTTTCTTTTAAGACCATTTCTTGCGATGTGGCTACCGCGCTGGGCAGGGGAGGCAAGGCGCTAGCTTCTCCAGCATTCTGTGCCGAAGAACCTGTTGAAGGTGCTGGAGTGGTTGAGTCTTTTTTGGGTTGCAATGTGAAACTGGAAATGGTTGTGGTGTTATTGCTTCTTCCAAGGTCGCCGGCTAGGCAAGTCACGACAGAATGATACCTGTAGTCATCGCTCCCAGGATGATCCGTCTGGTGACGAACCCCAACACCACTGGTTCTAGAAGGCATTGCTGGGAAGCAAGTCTCATCAGATCTAAAGCGGATGAGTGAATGAGAGAATCAGAAGGGCTCGGGGTTTGGGCTAAGTGAAATACGAGAATCAATCCGAGAAAAAAAAAAAAAAAAAAAGCAACGGGCAGCTGGTGTCAGGGGCGATGTACAGGAAGTAATCATAGTTCATGAGCGAACCGACAAGGCGGGGATGGCCGATGATTTTAGCCTTCGTCATCTGAAGGTATTTTGCCAGATAGCGTACTGTGCCAGTTCCAGGAAGACGGGCGCGGTGAATACTGTACCAGCTGCGAGCCAGCGGGCCTGGTTGTTGCTGTAGCCATCGAGCATACAACTCTCCGTCCTCATCACGCATCTGCACGCTATCACACCAGAATTCGTGTTAAGCGCCAGGCTCCCCATTTCTTGATGGTGACCACGAGGTTGCCTCTTTCCTGCATCTAGCCCGTCTCAGCTTGACCCGCGCGCTTAGATAGGTGATCCAGAGCTTATCATACACGGGAAGGCTGAAGACAGTAACTGAATTGACCACGAATTCAAAGTGGGCGGGCAGCGCTCACTCGGGAACCCACGGTGTTCAAAGATGGCGGTGGAAAAGTAGCTCGTCGAGAGAACAGTAACCCTTGCAGCTGTGTCTTTGGCGATCGAGCCGATGTTGGTGTTCTCCCAGTGTTGAATGCAACCACGGGAAGTCGAGTGCTGGCACGGCATGCTCGAGTATTGCGACGAGGCCGTGTATTCACGACCGTTGACTGTTTGGTGCTAGAGAATGCAACAATGGCCTCACTTGAGATGGTCTTTTGTCCCTGCCATATGGTAGCACACGCGGGTTGCCTTGTTGCGCCGAAAACCCCGCTCAGGATCAATCGTATGCATTTGTGCCGGTGCCCAAGCTTACTACATGCCAGCAGCAATCTTATTATCAAGGCCATACCGGTTAGCGCATCAATCATTCGACTTCCAACTCCATAGCCGCAATGAAGAATGGCTTGCGCAGGCAAGGACATCTCGACCATACTGGCAACCCCTCCGAATGCAGCAGTTCCGATCTCATCGCCGGCATTAAGCCGAGCAGGCGTGACTCCCGAGATATCGCCCTTGGTGCGCAGATTCAGCAAAAAGGCCGTTGTTGAGCAACCGGGTAGCATTCCAATTCGGGCGATGGATGCTGTTGTGAGGAGAGAAACTGATGCACAGAGTAAAAACCAGCAGCGACTCGTCGAATGGGGGAGGTGGCTTGATTTCACGATGTGTTCAACGTAAGTTGCGAGCCCCCTCGGTACCTAGAAATATGGAGAAGAATATTGTCGTGAGAGCCCAAACAAGCCTTTGGCATTAAGGGATGATACTGATGCCTTCCCAACTCTCGAAGTTCAGAGCAGGGACCTGATTGATACCTGGAGACGCCTCTCGAAGTCGCTTCCGGGAATGGGGGACTTGTCGCCCCAGGGAACATGGATCCCGACAATCTCGACACTCAAACAGGCCGTTGTACAAGCTGAAAACACAATGAAGGCCAAAAAGCTGAATGGCTTTGGATTGCTCAAGGACCGCTTCCACAGTCTAATTCAAACCCTTGATGATCACAAGTACATGTTTGCAATCATCCCACAAGGAGATAGATACGTAAGCCTCTTCACGGGAGTGGTTTCCTTCATCGCAAAGGTGAGCGGTGCTTCTCAGCCTGATCTTCCATCACAACTCAACCACACAAACGAGATGTAAGAACCATGGCTCACGTGAGTGGCAGGCATCGATAAACCATATCAAGATCGGCGAGTCGTTCTCGATAGCTCTTTCAGACGTAAGCCGCGACTTGAGTTATGTTAAAGCATCGGCAATGGTGTCGGACACTCCAATGATGAGGAAGCTCGTTGTGGAGATTTACGTCGAAGTCTTCAAGCTTCTCTGTCAAGCTTTGGGATGGTTCACAAGCAGAAGCCGCCGAACCATAGCTGCCTTGGATAGGAATTACTATGCCCGACATGTGCAGCCGTTTGTTGACAGAATACAGAAGGCCATCCAGCGTATTCGTGACAAAGCGCATCTCGTGACGCATGAGGCCGTCCAGGAAATCAGGGACATGGGGCATGAGCTTTTGCAACGAACAGCTGGACGCGAAAGCCGCCTGGACAGCGAGGAGATGAGCCACGAAAAGCTCAGCCGAATGGGAGAGACACTCGGATTCTCAAGCGTGCAAACACTGAGTTCTGTTGAACAACAGGCAACACATGGTGAGTCACCGCCCAAGAAGACGCCCAGTTGCGCCACTGTGACCTTGGCGTACCATATAAGTTCAAGTGTCTGACACCTTATACCACGATAGAGAACAACATACGAGCCGTTCTGCAGAAGGCCCACCGTGTTAGCTTTTGCCAAAAGCCAGCTGCAGAACCATCAGAGGGGACAATTTCGGCACAAGGAACCGAAACCGAGTGCCTTGGGAACAGTGATATCGATGCAATGGATGTTGAAGGTGAGTGCGGCAGCAGGCGTAAGCCTACTCGATTCCGGGACAGATCTGACTTGTGGGCATTACAGATATGGAACAGCCCTTGATGCATCGTAGCGACTTGGAGCGGTATGCTTCCGCTTTTCTCTCTCGCTATCTCGAGGACGGCAGATCCGATGTCTCTCGCAACCCCAGTGACGCGTTCTCTACGCTTCTTCCCAGCGAAGTTGTCACCGAGCTCCAGAAGTGGATCACTGCCCCCAAATCCAACACGGTATGGGTCGTCGGTCGTCCCGTCTCGCCGTTTGGGTCCGGTCTCTCAGTTGCTGCGCTTCGGATCTGCGAGATTGCGAAGGAGATACACATTCCCTGCATATCTTTCATTTGCAAACAGCGGTATTCGTTTGCCTCTTCGTTCTCTGCCATCCGCAAGAACGGAAGCACAGGTGGACTCGATCCCAAGGAAGCCGGTTTGATAGCCCTCCTTTACTCTGTCATTGCCCAACTGATTTATCTCCTCCCGGACGAGCCCTTTCCAAGCAGCGCGGTTCTGGAGAAGGATAACTTCGAGCGTCTGGATGGAGCCATGTCCAGCGCTTCCACAGCATTGGAGATCATCAGGGAACTGGCAATCCATGCGCCACCATCGCTGATATGGGTGCTTGACAATGTGCAGAACACGGAAAGCACCGCAACCTATACACATCTGAAAGCGTTTGTCGAGTTTTTGCGTGAGCAGGAGAGCAAGTCCAACTCGGCGCACGAGGAGGGGAAGAAGCCGTTTTCCAAAGTTTGCTTCACGACGGATGGAAATTGTGTGCTGTTATCTCGCTTGTCTCAAAAGGACAGGGGCATCAGGCAGATCGATGCGTCACGAATGGCACAAAGAAGGCCGGGAAGGGTTCTGCCAGGCGGAGCAGACGTAGGACAATTGGGATGGAGTAGGCGCTGAACCTCGGACGTCAAAGACCTGGGATAGTAGTTGAGGATTAGCGGTCAATTCTTGATGGGACTGATTTTTCGAGGCAGGGAATTGAATGGGCAGGGGACGGAATGGAGTACCTGCTAAGTAGCTTCTTATGTGCAAACGCCAGCCATCTCGTTTTTCAAGCGGTCCAATTGCCAATCTCCTATTGTGATGTTCCTGATTCGGTGGTGCGAGTTCTTTTGATAACAAGTCGACGGGAAAGATGGGCGCACTCAAGCGGGCACCAGGACACTCGATGTTGGCAGGGCAAGCAGACTGGGAATGCTGTGGTGTCCATAGAAGGAAAGAAGATGAATTAGTAGTAAGTAGTGCGGTAGCCTCCTGTCCATTGGAACGAAGTGTTTGCAATGACAGGGAAAACGCTTGATTCGGGGCTCGAGGGGAGAAGAGGAACAAGAAGGCGCGCCAGGCCAAATGTACTTACCTAAGCTGAAGTTTCTGCTAAATGGAAGTCACACTGCAGTCAGGGTGCGCCTTCTCCAAGATGGTGACAGATACAAGGAGGGAATGAGTCTTGGCGAAAGGAGAGTGTCGCAAGTCACAACCGACGGGTAGCACCTGCAGCTAGTTGAGTCTGTGTATTCCGCAGGACTCCCGTCCGTCCTTCCCAGGCAACCGACGATCATCTCGGTGGAAAAATTCACGACAACGAACAGTGAGACTCCGACGTTTGATAAATCAAGCACGGTAGTTGAATCAGCCACCAGCTCAGAATGATGGCCGGGACACGCAATTGACCATGATGCTCCAGATAAAAAAAAAAAAAAAAAAAAAAAAAAAAAGCTCAGTCTGATCAGATCGGAAATCGAAATCGGGAGGAGTACGCGATTCAATCCCGACCAGAAGGCAGACCTACAAAAATGCCGACGCCTTTTCTCGACTCAGTGCCTTACCACGTAGGCTAGGTATGGAACCGTGATGGAAGGTCTGCCTTTTGGTGTTTCTATGGTACAGTCGAGAACCTTGATGGCCGCATGACGTAATGCTCCACATAGGCCTAACAAACAAACACCCGACCATGAACCCCAAAAGGACAAAGCACATTAGCTCTGGAAATGCGGCCCGACACTCCCTAAATCGTCTCCGAATCAAGTACTTGGCGGATCAAAATGCGACATCAAATTTTGAGTCCCGTCGGCAGTCGGCATCGTTGACTTGCTGGACTGGCGTCAGTGGTTATTGTTCAGCGATTCCTGTGATGCGATCACTCTCAGCAGGCCATCGACAACTGAACTCGACGTTGTCAGTGAAGTGCCAAGACACAGGACTGAAAGTCAAAGTAAATAATTACCAAAAAAAACATGTGATGATATATACGTTTGAGAACAAAGGAGATATACAAAGTCGTGCATTGTTAAGATCATTCACCTCGTCCCTCATCCTACCTCTATCCAATCCACCTTTTTTCATCAACCACCCATTTACAACTCATCCTTAACCGCAGTCATAACCTTCTCCACCACCTCCTCCACCTGGGTCTTGAACTCTTCCACCTTTTCAACCTGAGTCTTGAACTGACCAGCCTTCTCACCCTTCTCCTGCTGCGGCTCGTCCTCCTCAGGAACAGAGTCATCGACCTTGAGCACCTGGGCTTTGATCGTGAACTCCATCTCCCTCTTGTCCTCGGCCCTGTTGGCGCGGGTCTTGTCAACGGGGTAAGCCACGACGGCGCCGTCGGTGGGTTTGGCCGTGTACTTGGTCATGTCAGAGAGGGCTTCTGTAATCAATCAATTGTTAGCATGATGCATAATACTCCTAGGACCTTGCGAATAAGACAAAGAAAAAGAACTTACCCTCGCACTCACTCCCCTCCGCCACCCAAAGCGGCGCATTCTCGTAAACCGCTCCCGGCGCAAAGATAACCACCCTATTCACATCCCCCTCTCTCCACTCCCTTTCCTCCTCCTCCGTCTCCGGCTTCTTCTCCCTCAAACTCGTCGCCGTCGCGACCACATTCTCCCCCTTTTCCACATCGGCTTTAGCCAACACCGCAAACAACCCCTTCCCCTTCCCCTTTGCATCCTCAGCAGCAGCAGCAGCATCAGCAGTACTCCACTCCTCCTCCTCAATCCACCTCCTCACCTTAATGGGAACATCCACATACTCCATCATCAACATATTCCGATCATACCCATGCGGATCCACCCCGTCCCACGAACCAGGGTAGGGCCGGTTCGTAAACGTCTTGCGCAAAGCTTCGACCCAGGGGATCAAGCCCAGAGGCGGCAGCTCCTGCAGGTCGTCGAGGAGGTACTCGGTGGCGCGAAAGGTGCGCTGAGCAGAGCAGGTCGGGACGAAACGGGTCGGGGCCGAGGCTTCGGATTCCGACGAGATGGTGATGCGCGTGTTGTTGGCGTCTGCGAAGGGATTATGCCACGGCCAGTTGGGCATCAGGTCGGGCTTTCCGGGGAGACGCTCGGCGTTCTCGGGGACGGCGGGGCCGACGGCTGAGGCGACCGTGGCCAGGTAGGCGTAGGTTGCCGCGCTGAGGGAGGTGGTCTTCATCTTTGCTGCCTGCGGGTTTGTTTGGGGGGGTGTTTTGGGGTGTAGGTTGGTGACGGTGGTGGTGGTGATGATGATGATGCTCACCAGTGGTCAAGAGTCAAGAGAGGATTGGAGAGAGAGAAATGATAGAGGAAGAGAAGAAGGAGGAGGATGAGGATGGTCCATGGTCTCGGCTTGGGCATTTTCTTTACCACATCGGGCAGTCTTGATATTTGGCAAAGTGCAATGTTGTCCTTCGGAAGGCTGTTCCGCATTTCCAAATTCGATCATGGCCCGAAGCCATCACCTGAGGGATTACGACGGCTTGGAGGGGAACATGAGGAGACATTTGGAGATTCCAGGGGTCTTTTGGAGTCGCTTCAGGGCAGTTTTGGGGAAATTTGGGGTCATTTGGGGAAGATATGCGGAGATCGCCAAGAGAGTTGGAGGTCGGTGGGGCTGCTAGACAGGACGACATTCCTTTGTGCGGAGAAAGTTGGGGTAAAGATCTCACAGCCATCCGAACTTGACTGCGACAGCGGCTATGTACCTAGGAGTACACTCCCGTCTCCTCCCTCATCCGAACCGGGCTCGGGGCAAGCCATTCCGATTCTGGTCACTGCAATTGCTGGCCTTTCGCCTTTACAGTGGGCTCTGTCGAGAATCAGTCATGGATGTCTTGCTCATCACATATTATAGTGACTCTTAAGATGAGAGTTGTAGGTCGCCGGATAGCATCATAGATCGGTCTCCTAGTATTACTACTTCGTTACCTTCCGTGATTGCCTACCGACCCTTACCGCCAGGCACGGAAGCCTTCTTTTGAGACTTTTGAGACGACGAACGCGACCCAAGAGTTCCAGGGAAGGCCTTGATATTGGCCGCCGCAAGGATGGCCGCGATAGCTTCATCATCACTGTCCTTTTGCGACTTGACGTTCTTCTGGTTCTTGGCGGGCCAGCCAGGCCACTCATTGGGACGAGCAAACAGCCGCCTGTCATGCTCGTGACCATGCTCTTGCAGCTTCGCGGCACCATAAGCTTCCCAGAGGGGATTGGCGCCCGAGACTCCTCGATACGCAATGTCTTCAACGTCCCACGGGCTCGCCCGTGCAAGAGGGTGATGCTTGCCCTGAAACGTCGACATAGCTCCGAGATATACCATGAACAAGGCCTCGGCCAGAACGATCAGTTGCAGGTCCTCCAGAATCTTGGTGGGAGTCTTGGAGGCCATGGGATTAGGGAGCCGCAGAAGAATAAAAGGGAATTTGGGCATTGTGAGGTTCAAGGCGGCGTCCTGGATCCAGGTCGCACTCTTGGCACCTAGGGTTTGGTGTCGGGCAAAATAATGGGTTACGAGACGCAAAAGTAGCCCTCCTCTGTGCGAAGCTGCTGAGCCGACATAGAGACTGGCGTCTTCGGTCTTATAACTTTGGCTTTGGGTTGGGCGCTCTATAAGGCCGTAGACGCCCAGCTCAACGCCCGCGTTCTGCTCATTCACCTCGAGCCATGGAAGCTCCTTGAGCTTGGCAATGGTCGGCGGGTATGGACTAGCCAGAATTTCTCTGACAGGATCGGATAGGATGTCCACTATCTGGTCGATCCACTGGTTCGGGCTCTTTTTCTGCAAACCCGAGACCCATTCGGGATGGGGATAGCAGTCGAGCAGCGCGTCATAAATCGAGCGGAGTCGGCGTTTGATCTTGGAGTTGAGAAGCCTGCGTCGCTCCTCCGCTTGGTCAATGCCCTGAACATCATGATAACCCGGACCCCAGTCGAACTTGTGCGTGTCGGATGGCAACGAAGGGTCGCGCTGACGACACAGCTGGACAATAAGTTTTTTGTAGAAAGCCACTTCGTCTAGGTCCACGTCATCCCTCCCCATCCGCTTAAACACCCGGGAAAGAGAATCTCCCCGAATCCAACCGGATGCAAAAGTCTCGATGTCGTCGGGCTTCCAAGGCCGAATCCACTTCTCGCGGTCGGGTAGCCAGACCCTGCCCTTTTGCACCGTGTATTGAACGAGAGCATCGCTACCGCTATCTTTCCGTTTGCCCGCGGTAGTAGCTGGAGTTGAACTGAAGGATCGGAGAGTGCGCAATTGTGCGTAGGCAGAGATGTGTTGGGTATTGGAATCGCATTGAAGGGAACGTGGCATGTGTGTTCGAGATTTCGCGACATGCGCCCGCTGTAACACGATCAACGGACGGCGGCAACATGTCGCCAATCCCAAAACCCGGGAGGAGTGGCTCATGTTTTGTGCGGTCGGGGCTCTGTTGGATTTGGCGTTTCTAGTCGATGTGGTGACATGGAATTCGAGTGGCGGGAGGCCCGTGAGAGTCGCGAGAAGGTCGTAAACGTCGGCAATCGCGCGCGGTCGTACGACACGGGAGTGGATAGGTTGTTCAAGAAAGATTTGGTAGGTCGAGGAAGAAATGAAGCACCGTCGTGGTGTACGTACACTACAGATCAATGAACTATTCACTGTGTATGAACCGACCGTGACGGCCTTTTCTGTTGTTTATTGACACAGAGGACTTTTGCCTTTCCACAGTCAGTCGCTTTAGGGCCTGTTCGGGTCCGCGATAAGGATAAGGTAAACTAACTACCTCTGAATAGCGGGAGACCCTAACCCTAGTTCCGGCTCAGCCATACATCTCTAGGCTACTCGTGCCTCGACCCCACTTCTTTTGGGGACACGCCAGACCCGCACGCCTTGACTGCTTCTGAGTTTAAGTACCTTTCTACTAATTTGCTTTCTTAAGTTGCCTTCTAAAGTTGCCTTCTAAAGTTGCCTTCTAAAGTTGTCTGGCTAATTTGCTTTACTAATTTGTCTCGCTAATTTGCCTTACTAATTTACCTTCCTTAAATTGCTATTTAAAGTTGCCTTCTAAAGTTGCCTCACTATAACGAACGACAGTCTGATCTACCTAAGTGAGATTGCTAAAGGTATAAAGACTATTAGTACTATTTAGTAAAGCTAAAAGGTTTATAACAAATATACGTACGTAATACTAGTCTTAGTAATAATGATTTATTAACTACCATCGAACTATTTGATAATTTGAATTCTTCAATCGTCCCTTTATATCCTTGTACTTACTTCTATCTTTCCTAACTTGAGTATTTATTATAGTAATAGCTTACTAATAGTATTAGTTTACTCGTAAGCTCTAGCTTACTATAAGCCCCAGCTTACTATAAGTACTAGCTTACTATAAGCCCTAACTTACTAATAAGCTATTATATTTAGTAAGCTCGTACTTATACTTATACGCCCTACCTAGTCCTAAGAGTTATATTAGTCACCTTGGGCGGGGCTATTGAGTCTCGAGGGCTTAGGCAACCCCTATGTTGCTTAAATTCGTAATACAATACCTCCCCTTTTTAACTATTATTCTTAATAGCTTTATTAGTCTTCTAACGTTCTCGCCCTATTCTTATCTCTACTATTGCCTCTATTCTAGATATAGTAAATTCTTCTTCCTTTATTGTCTATTATTATATCTAACCAGGTTTCTAAGTACTTGACTATATCGTCCTTCTAGCAGAACGCTTTATTAATTTATTTTAACGCTTTTAGTTCTATAGTTATACTTTACTAATACTACGCTAATTGTAAATTAATCTATAAGAAACTTCCAGATTATATAAAGTATAGCGAATGTATTCGTAGTACCCGCCCTTATAAAGAAATTAATTATAATTCGGAGCGTTAATTTCTCTTAATACTCTATAGTAATTACTATTAACTTTTAAGTAGTACTTCGGATATTTGTAGAAAATATAAAATTAAAGTAAGAGTAAATAACGCTTATAAAAGTAATATAAGATTATATACTCTGCTTATTTGAAGTTTAATATTATTAGAAAGAGTTAATAATATAAGCCTATAATATATTTTAGGCTATAATAATTGAATTAGAAGTTTAGAAGGTAGAGGAAAGGGCAGTGAAGGAAGAGCCTAAATCCTTACTTAAAGAGCCTCTAATAAAAATATTTATTTTTAATACTTCTATACTTATAAATTAAACTTTACTAAATATGTTAATTTACTTTACTTCTTAATTAAATAATCCTTTAATTTCAACTAGTCTAGATTCCTCTAATAGAATTCTTCTAACTTCTTAGAATAACTTAAATTTTTAATAGACTCCTATATATTATCCTTAGGACCGAATTCTTCCTATTTAATTAAATATTCTAATTCTCCTTTTCCCCTTCTTAAATCCAAAATTTATTCTACATTCTATTCTTCTTCCTTATTTTTAATACTAGTATATATATTAACTCGTACATTTTTATATACTAGTTCTAATAGTATAATTGTAACGAACGGCAGTCTAATCTACCTAAGTAAAATAGTTGAAAGTGTAAAACTATTAGTACTGTTTAGTAAAGCTAAAAGGTTTACAATAAATATGCGTACGTAATACTAGTTTCGGTAATAATAATCTATTAACTACTATCGAACTATCTAATAATCTAAGTTCCTTAATCGTCCTTTTATACTTATTCGTATTATCTATTCTATAGCTGGCTTACTCCGTATTATTATAAAGCTAGTTTACTCTATACGCCTAGAATTAGTTTACTAGCGTAAGCCCGGAATTAGCTTACTAGCGTAAGCCTGGAATTGGTTTACTAGCGTAAGCCCGGAATTAACTTACTAGCGTAAGCCCTAAATTAGTTTATTAACGTAAGCCTTATTTCCGACGCCTTTTTTAATCCTACCCTAGCTTATAATTATACGAATTAGCCTTTCTAGGCTGCTTATACTACCGACGGTCTAATTAGCCCGTATATTTACTTTAAATTTGTAATATAATACTCCCCCTCTTTAACTGATATCCTTAATAGTTTATTAATTCTTTACTATTACAATTTATTATTTTTATATATCGTATTCTCTATTACTTTAGCTATTGTAAATTATTCTTTTCCTTATTATTTAATTATATCAATTTCTTACATTTAAAAGCGTCCCTCCCGGTCGGTATTTAAATACTAAAATTTAATTATTAATATTAAGTAATTTAGAATTATTGTTATACTTTATACTTATTACACCGATTATTATCTTCTTTATAAAAAGATTTCCGATAATAGGAAGTACGCTAAATGCGTATGGCGGGTACGTCCTTATAAGGTTATTAATACTAACGTAGAATATAAGGTTCCTTTCTATTATAGTTACGAATATTATTAACGACTTTTAATAATTAATATTACTACGACCTTTAATTAGGTTTAATAAATAAAGGATAAGCTTTTTTATTTAATTAAAGAGCGTTTAAAATAATTTAATAATTTAAGGGAATAAATCGTATAATTATTAGATTTGGAACGTTAATAGTAGATTTTATCATCCTATAAGTACGAATTATCCTTATATAATATAATTAAATTAGAAATTTTGGAGAAGGAGGAGAAAGCTATAAGGGAGGGGCTTAAGCCCTTACTTATTGAATTATGTATAGATATATTTATTTGTACTATAATTACGGATTAGGCTTTTTTAAATATTTTAACGTTCTCTACCTCCTAATTAAATAATCTTTTACTTTTAATTAATCCGGGTTCTTCTAATAGAATTCCTCTAACTTCTTAGGGTAATTTAAATTCTTAACGGGTTCTGAAGTATTATCCTCGGGACCGAATTTATCCTATTTAATAAAGTATTCTAATTCTCCTTCCTCTATTCTTAAATCTAAAATTTATTCTATATCCTATTCTTCTTCCTTATTTTTAATATTAGTTCGCGTATTAATTCATACGTTTTTGGATACTAATTCTGATAATACAATATAAAAGGAATATAATCTTAATTTCATAATATTAGGAATATCCAATTAGTATACTATATTAGAAATTTTTTTCTTAATTTTAAATATCTCTACTTATTAATTATTAAATTTCTTATTTGGCCTCTTTATTCTAAAATTCCTAGTAAATAAAAGGATTGTATCCTCCTCTTTAAAGCGAGTTCCTTCGAGCCTTTTTTAATTAAAGTACCGGCTTATTTTTTATTTAACGAATTCTAATTCTTCTTTAAATTTTTTATATAGTATATATAGTTTCTCGGCCTTTATTAAAGCCTTAGGAACGTTCGTATCTAATCCTTCTAAGAGTTTTCGTTTATACCTATAATTTATAAAGAAAGGTGAAATTCTAGTAGTTTATATAGGGGAGGTATTATATATTAATTGTATTGTAGGTAGTAGTTCTAGTAGAGAATGGGTTTCTTAGTTGCTTTATTTGAAATTAAGATAGTTTCTTAAATATTATTCTATAATTTAATTGATTCTTTCTATTTATTTATTTATTTATAGGTAATATATTATTAATATTTTACTTCTAGTTCCGAGTTTGATTATTAATATCTATTAAAATTTGGACGCGAATTTAGTATCCTTATTTATAATCTATTCCTTTAGCTAATTATATACCGAAGTAACGTTCTAATAAATTATATTTATAAATTACTCCGTTAATTACGTTTCCTTATAGGGTAAAAAGTAATTCTATTTAGTTAGCCTATTTACTATTATTAGAATACTATAATAAATAATTCCTATTATAATATTTGTAGATAGTAGTAATTTAGTAATGAAATTTATAATTACTAAGTTCTATAATTTTTACAATTTCTAAGGGTTCGAGGAATTTGTATAGTTTATATCTTATAACTTTAGTTTTGCTATAATATTTATAGGCCTATAATATTCGAGTTACTTTGGTTTTTATTTTTAGAAAGTCGTAGTGTTACTGTATCCGTACTATAATTTTAGTAATATTTATATATCCTCCTATTTTGGACGTATATATTCCTATAATAAACGTTTTGTATTATTTAGGCTAAATAT